GCAATTACTTTTATCTATGTATTATCTATTTTAGTTTTTAATCTTTTAAAATTAATTTCTCATGGACTCAAATGAGTATAATAATATTTCAAATAAGATTAGGGCCTTTTTATACATAATTTTTAATTAATCATGAATAATAATATATCAACCCATTATGTGTAATTTAAAATAAAATTATGTTTCAAACATATTCCGTAGCAATAGTAGTTTTTTATTGTTTATGAAATTTTTAAAAAGTAATTACTTTTTTTAACTTAATAAAATACAATGTTGAAAAGATTTATAAATATATTATTAATTATGAGTGAAACAAAACTTATTGATAAGTTTTGTTTAATTATATTTGGAAGTAAGACAATATATTGAGTAAAAAAAAATTTAAACATATGTATTTAGTATTGTGATAATAGTTATTTTTTAAAATATTTTTTTATTATAAAATATATCAAAACAATATTTTATTATTTTTTTTGAAAATTTATTTTTAGCATAAGTATATCAAAACAATCTGAAAAAAAAATTAAAGAACAAAAATAAAAAAAATATATTTTTTGTAAACATAAAAACAAAAGGTTTTTAAGAGTTGACACCACACATCTCAAGAAATTTCAATCTTCATGAACGATTGCCGTAGCCTCTATATATTCAACCTCCCATAAATTATTTCATAACCTCCGCTTTCCAGTCCTCTCCATGTAGATTTCGGCCCCAAGCTACCTAAGTCAATCATAACACATTCTTGCATTTGCTAGCACACGTACGTATTTTCTTTGAAATCGACAGAATCTCGTTGAAATCACCTAATACCATTGAAGGAGAAGTTATGGATTTGAGCTAGAAGTCTAATATTATGCTCAAAACACTCTCTTCTTTAGCTGGTCTTTTGGATTGTCATAAACCACAGTACATAATCATGATGATCCTCCTCCATCATCCACTGTTACATGAACATAGTGACGAGAAGACTTCAATATCTTCATGTTAACCATGATGATCCTCCTCCATCATCCACTTTTACATGAACATAGTGACGAGAAGACTTCAATATCTTCATGTCAGCCCTGATTTTATTGCATCATCTCCACTCCCGTTGTACCTTCTGCCTGTTGTTTCTCCTTCCCGTTCTCAGTGAGATGCTGCACAGGAGGACATATCTCCTTCTTATGCCATACTGGCCACATTTGGAAACAATTTTGATGGAGGACCTCACATACTATTCGGCGTACTCTCCTTCTCACCTTGAACTTCAATAAGAATGGCTTCGTAAGATCTATTTCCACACAAATCCTGGTATAGTTTTCATGAGTGCCAATTGACGTCGTCATGTCCACCTTCAGAGCCTTGCCAAAAGGATCTCCAATTCTCCACAAAACCCTTTTATCATAATACTCCATTGCCAAACCTGGATGTCAGACCCACACAGAGACATTTTCAATTGGATAAAACTGGATGCCATTGTCTCACGGTAAGATAATGATCTGCCACCATCCATAGACCCTAAAGAGAGCAAAGCCCAGGTCATCGGATTGAAAACTTGTCCGGGAAGAAATTTTTTCCCAAATCCACCAGTCCTAGATCGCCTTGAATTTTCCGTAGTGTATGGAGTCTTCTCATCAAAGAAGTCTTCTTCCCCATAACTTTGATAATTAATGTTTGACGCCACGGTTCTTTGATTCTTCGTTTTTCTTCAACAGAATTTAATTACAGGACAATCTTCATCTCTAAAATCCTCATCATCATCTTCTGAAATATAATCATCCCTAGATAATCTTCAGCCATCCTTCGATTCATATAAGAGGCTCCAGCAAGCGAGTCCTTGTTACTAAAACCTCCGGTTGCTATTTTTGTCACGATTCGATTCCTAAATTCATCACCGGCACTCATAAAAACAAGATTTCCCTTCAAGGTTTCATATTTATATAAACTCAAACTTACATGCAAAATTATTTTTTAAATAACTCAATCAGAGTTCAACGCAGTATTAATAACAAAATTAACTTTATAATATAATTCAATTATCTTAATACAAGAGTTAATACAAATTCATAATTATGAAGTGTTAACTAGATATAAAAAAGGTATTAATTTAAAAAAAACGGGTTTTAAAGGTTCATCAAAAGTAATATGCCATCAAGCTATAATCCTGAAAAGATAAATAATAAGGAGGTGAGTTCAACAACTCTGTGAATAGATAAGGTTCAATATATACACATAAAGTAATATAAGAATGATGAATATATACACAATTATGGCTTTAGATTTTTATAGAAAGGTTTCTCAAATAAGCAATAACGAAAATATTATAAAGTAAAACTCGTCAGAAAATCAAAATGTAATGAGCATGAGGCTCCATACTATAAGATAATCAATCCATATAGGTTGGTGACTCCCCCAACCAACTAGGGTTCAGATACGATGTGCACAAAGACTAACAATACCATGTTAGTATGGGTATTCTAACTGACATACCATGGGTTCATAATTATAATTAAATAGACATATTTATATCTTAAGGCTCAACTCATAACATCAATTAAATGAGAAGCTAACAATTTAGAAGTTAACTCAAAATATATATTGGTTCATATTAAGAATTTATATTCAACAATTACTCATGTTTTATTGTAACAAGAATAATAATCAATATATATATTATTAAGAAGCATAATTCAATTCATATTAACAACTAAAATATTTATAATATTTCTTATACATATGAAAAAATATCTATTCACCTAACTCGAAAGTAGATACCAAAGGAAATCCAATTAATGTCTCACTAGTAGAATATTAGGATTATCTTAATATAAAGGAGCCATATTCAAAAAAGACTCGAAAGAACATACAATCTATTTAATACATTTACTTAATGGTCTATTCCATAACCCTATATATTTTTAGACTAGACTAGTTATTTTCTCAAAAAAAAAACCCAAAAATTAAACAGTTTTCAAGTAATTCATAATAAAAATAATTAGACTTGATAATAATTCATTAAATAACTCTTAATTATTCATCAAACCAATTTTTAAAAGCTAATATTATAGTTAGGGATTAATCTAGAATTTATCATATTTTTAAGAGTCAAATTGTAACTTTGTCAAATTGGAGGATCAAACTAAAAATATCCTAAATTCATAACTATAATAGAATTATGTCCATAAGTCATCCTTATTTTTATCCAGAATCTCTAATTATACTCTAGGGATCATTCTGGATTTTTTTTTCAAATTTTTAGGGTCAAATTGTGATTTTTTGTCAAATGAAAGGACCGAATTGAAAATGTTAAAAAATCATAACTATACTGAAATTTTGCTCATAATTCATTTTTTATTATGTCCAAAATCTCGGAATATGCTTTAGGGACTAATATGTAATTTTTTAAAATTTTAGGGACTAAACTATAATGTTTACAAATTGAGAAACCAAACTGAATTTTCATTATCTTCAACCTTAAACCCAGAATTTTCATAAAATACCTACTGTTATCTCATGATTTTTAACATAAATTCACCATTCAAACTAAATCAAAACTTAAAATCAACTAATTAACTCATTACCCACAACAATTAATCTATAACATTTAAATTAATTCATCAATCAATCCAAAATATAATTTTCAAAACCTTAATATTCATCGAAATAAAAATTTAAGGCTCAAAAAACACATATTTATATATTTAAAACATAAATCTTATATTTTAAATTTATTTCCTTGAACTTCCTCCTTCTTCCCTAGCTTTCCCTCTTTTCTCTTCGTCTTCTTTCCCTCTCATGATTTTCTATCTAAAAATGCAGCTTTTTTTTTTTATTCTCTTTCTATTTATATTTATTAACTTATTATTCAATTATTACAATGCCCCACAGTCATTCATACACATTATTTAAGTGTCGAATAGCTTTGCTGCCATTTACTACTTATTTTGCTTCCTTCAACCGAGCTGAACTAGTTCCCTCCGCAGTAGGCTGTTTTCCTGAAACTGAACTAGCGTGGCAGGAGATCTGCTTCCTCGGAGGAGATTTCCGTAGATTCTCTGGAGAGAGTCATGTTTTCTTTAACAGACAATTTATTAGAACTAGGTACACTAACGCAACAAATAAAATTATTAGCAGATACACTGCTGCATTCTTTGTTGCGGCACAACAAGTGAAATCTTTTCTTGGCTGTGAGAATGCCGTAACAAAAGGAGATTTATTTTCTCAACTATTTCTTCAATTGTTTTATTGTTTCAAATAAATTTTAGGATGTTGATTTAAAATAAAATCTCCTGCTGTCTGCTTGTCGTGTCACTTCATGCCTCACCGCATTAATTCATAAAATTATTTGCCAGTTCCGTCGTCATGTAAAAGTTCTCTCTGCCAGAAATGTAATAAATTTCTTTCCGAGTTCAACACTCCAAACGTTTTTTTTTTTTTTTTACTTCAAATTCATTACAACCTGTAGTGCTATGACATTGGCTATGAGGCAACAAAAATAAGATAAGAACGAAAAATAAAACCATAAATTTGTTTGACAACAACACAAATATTGAATTCTGCGACAATTTGAGAGTTTTCTTGATCATAAATGCAACCCATGAGTTCAAGCCTCTCTTCGTTGTTCCGAGAAGACGACGACGACAACAGAGCTTGTTCATACTCTTGCAGTATGATTCCATGCGAATAGAAAAGAAATGAGAATCCATAATCTTCAAGAGAATTAATTACTGTCATTTTTTATTTATTTTTTTTTTTTTTTGGGGGGGGGGGGGGGGGGGGGGG